AAGTTGAGGCTTAGAGAGGTCAGTTATGCTGGCAGACATACAACCAGGATATGAATCCTGAGCCCTTGGACACTTGAGCCCAAGCACGTCTACTCTGTAACCTTCCTTTCATCGAAATGATGTAAGATCTTTCGAGAAACATGTATCGGGCACCTAACTAGGTACCAGGCTGCCAGGAGCACAGCAGTGAGCTCAGCCAGGCTGAGGACCAAAGACTTTTCCAGAATATTACCAGAGAAAGCATTCAAACACCATCAGCACTGGGTTCTGTTTACAATGCCATCCGTGTCTATTCTAAAGGAATATAAGCCCACCCTGCTTAAAAAAACCACTTATCAAAACATAGGCTGGAAAAGATAAAAGTGAAATGCTTCCCTTCCTACAGCCCATTCATCCCCAGACACACTTCACGGCTTAATCATTCCCCGCCAGCCCTGGTAGGTCTCCTCCAGGAACACGTAACAGGGTGCTGCCTTGGGCGGGGGGACCTGCACGATTGATTTAAGGGAGGCCTGGTGATTTGATTCTGGGGTCAGACACAGAAGCCTTGGCGATTGTCCAGGCTGATCTGGCGTGCCAGGGGGCGAACTTCAAGTATACAGATGACCTTCATTAAATGGAAGGATTAGGCTTGGCCAAGTATCAGCTGAGCCACTTGGAGCCTCATCTGGGAGTCGCAGGCGAAGGGAACTATACTCAACATCTCTGCCTGTCTTGCTCAACTATTCTAACAGCCCCTCCCCTCGGCTACATTAGGGGCCCCCTCCAGGCACCCGGGGTCCTCTGAGTTTCTCTGTAGCACCTGCCATTTTTAATTAAATTGCCTGTTTACACATTCTCTTGGCCCCTTAGAGCACCAGGCCATGAGCTCTGGAGGGCGGGAGTGGTGTCTGATTCGCCTCCTGACCCTCTGCCGGATGCATTGCTGTGCATGCAGTAAGCACTCGTGAGCTATTTTCTGAATAAATGCATGAGCGCCCGCCAGAGCATATCTCTGTTGTCATAGAAGATACAGTGACCTGGAAAGTTCCTTTCCACAGGGTAACTTCTAGGCTGGTTGGATTTCAAGGGTGGGAAGAAAAGAGTTCTTAAGTCCGAATGAAGACTGCTATTGAAGTATACAGGAAAATCCTTCAATCCCAAGAGCAGGAGGCAGGTTCCTACTGACCCATCCATTGGAGGAAACCAAAGCCCACATTTTTATTAGTGGCAATTACTAATACTAAAACATATTCATTAACTGATTCATTCATTTTTTCATTGGAAAGGTGATACATTTAAATGCTTACTGGGCCAGGCAAGTACTATGTGAAAAGCAATAGGGAGTGGTAGGGATTGTGGCTAAAATAAAGTACATTCCTGGTCTAAGGGGGACAGCCACTACTCAACTCCAACCGATCATTGCCATGTGACTATGTGAGCCCAGGATGGCCCAATCTTCCAGTGTCTCAAAAGAAGCCAGAAATCTAGATCATTACATGAAATATCCTGATTTGAAAAAGCTCAGTAACTAATTTTTTATTTATATTACACTAGCTAAATATATCATATTCACAGAGAAAAAAGTTCCAGCTGGGACCTCTATTATACTGTGTTCCTCAAACCACTAGTTCGATGGGGCCAGAGGTTATATCTGTATTATTCGCCTCTGTGTCCTCAGTGCTACCAATGTGCTGGCACATAATAATTGCTCAATAAACATTTGTGGACTGAATCAATGAATGCTTCCTATGAATTGGGCATTGTGATGGGCAGTGGGATTCCTGGCTTGAACATAAAGTGAGTGCCTTGGGGGGACCTGCACGATTGATTTAAGGGAGGCCTGGTGATTTGATTCTGGACTCAAAGAGGAGGTTGAGAACCAAACAATACCAGAAAAGATTCTAAAACTGTAATCAAGGGATGGATGTCTATGCAGGTTACAGAACAGAGGTCCAAGGACAGGGGAATTCATGCCATTGGG